AGCCTAAACAAAAGCAGTGTATTTCAGTATGCAACAAGTTCACGCAGCTAAAGATGAAATTCAGCAGTGAATTCCACTGGAACGTGACCGTCGTAAACTACAGCCACAGTGACTACCATGAAGCGCGTTTCACGCCCTACTAGGAGACAATAAGGAGCTGCAATGTACAGTGGGGCCACCGCCTTCAGGATCGCCAACACTGTTTTTTTTTGTGTTTGCTCACATGCACACACATACATTCACGTATATATACATACAAACTTACTGCATTCAAAATTTGAATGAACACTGTTGGTGATAAGCAAGAGCCAGCGACTAGCTGTATGTGCCCACTATAAATGTAAACAAAATGACTAACAATGACCATATCTCCTCATACGTTGCCCATACAGATATGAGAAAAACTAAGAAAAGTCAGGAATCCCGCTGTGGCCTACCCGCAGATACCTAGACAAGTGGAAACCCGTGCGTTTGGTGTCAAACTCAAAAAGCATCAATTTGCTGCGGGAGAAAATTGAGCTTAGGTATGTGTGTATGTGTGTGTGTGTGTGCTTTAAAGGTAAAAATAGACTAGTCATCCGTTCTGGACTTCTCAATACTGCACGGAAACAGAGGAGAGTTAACAGACAAAAAATCTAATTATTTGCCGAGACAGAAATGTCTAGTAGGTTCGCCCGGATGCATTGGAAAGGCTAGCAGCTGTCGCACTGATCTTGTGAAAGAGCAAAAAACAACGGAACTACCGGCGCTCAAAATGGCTGAGCAAAAACCAATCGCAAATAAGGATATGCTTACCATCAAAATTCTCTCTATAGCTGCATAAGGCCAAAATTATAGCAGAAATAGATAAAATTATAGAATACAAAGATGCTACAAGAATAAAAGGCATCAGAACGACGGTCCACTGGATTAAAACTTTTGAAAAACTCATCGGTACTGAAAGTAAGTTTTCGTCAATTCAAAATAATATGAACAATTACAGTTCACTGGAAACAAACCTCGACAGACTGCTGGAAATCCTTGTGAATATTCTGAGCAGCCAACGCTTCCTCGAGAGTTGTCGGGATGGTATTCATACGAAGCAGCTCGGCCTCTTCCTTTTGTATTTTTTGTATTGCAACTAAAGCCTTTCCGCGCGCACGATTAAACTGTATGCACTGCTCGATGCAGTGATGCGTCTCCTGGGCCACCTGAAGTACGCTCCAGAAATTAGCAATAGCAGGAAGCGACGAAAAAACATAACTTTTTATGAAATATAATTCCTCTTTTTCAATAAAACAACACAAAATAATGCCTCTTCTCATTTTCTTTTCAGTATTCAAATTAGCGCGTAAATGTTTTCGGTCTTACTTTGTTTCTACCACAATTTAACAACCCTACTGGTTCTGAGGCTTTCCTAAATGTTCTTCTGGCCCAATTCATCGAATTCTCCATTCGGCTATCAGAATTTTCATGCAAAAAGGCGAAAAAAAGTGCCTCGCTCTCTTAACACTCCCGGCAGGGCATGACCGAAAACTGATTAAGCTGGAAATATAAATGCAGTGCCAGTACTCATAGCGCGAGAGAACGGAAAATTAGAAAAGTTTCACGGACCTGCATCACCTCGTGCTGGAAGTCGGTGAGTTGTTGCAAATTTGCAACAATCACGTCAGCAGCTGGCGTACCTTCAACATTAACTAAAGTTGTTTCGTTCTCTCGAAATGCCTAAATTTGATACAAAGTAAATTTGCACTATACGGACTTTGTGCATTAGCTGAACAAAAAGAAAAATAGCGCATTTTCGAAATGTATGGGAATGCCGCGGTAAAAACCTGTTTTGCTATTGTGGTGCAGCCTAGCGGCATAAATATCGCGTATTTACTGCAGCTTCTTTTGCTTTCAAAAGCAATTAAGCGTTTTTATTCAGCTTCTTTTGACGTTTGTTTTGGTTAGACCAGTAACCCTAATTTTTATCAAAAAAATTATCAGTGGCATTTTTAGTTTTCCAATTTTATAAGTAATAAT